AGGATAAAAAGATCAATCTTTGTCAAATCTTCATTTCTGGTACAATTATCAACAAGCTTCCTTCATCTTGGATGTTATTCTCCATGAACATTCGAAGAAGGAAAAGACAGGTGACTCTGTCTGATTTGAAGAGGTTCATTCGGATCAAGGATGAGATTCGGATACGCACGAAGAATAAACTCCTTTCTAAGCAAAGACGTCTGCTAACATGGTGACTGCTAATTCTAAGAAGGATAGTAGTTCTTCTTCCAAGAAGAAGAAGAAGTCATTTAACAAAAAGACTCTCACGTTGAAGGATGTGAAACATGTTCCCTCAATTGCCAAAAATTTAGTCTCAGGAAACCTACTATGTGATGCAGGTATGAGGCTGGAATTTCAAGGAGGAAAGGTTGTGTTATTTTTTTTTAATGTATTTTTAAAATGAATATAGTACTGATGGCATGTATAAGATTAGTACTATCGTACCTAATTCAGTTGTTAATGAAATATCCTCTTCTGCTTACTCCTCTGTGTTATGGCATAGTAGACTGAGACATGTAAATTATAGAAAACTATCTACCATGGAGAAGTTAGGATTAATTTCAAAATATAGGGGGAACAAATCTGAGAAGGGTGAAGTCTGCTCGCAAGCAAAACTGATAAGGAAGCTCTTTCCAAGTGTCACAAGGAGCACTAACCAATTGGATCTGATTCACTCAGATACTTGTGACTTCTAGAGCTTCGTCACTCGAGGCGGCATGAAATACTTCATCACCTTTATCGATGACCATTCTCGCTTCTGCCACGTTTATCTGCTAAAATCTAAAGATAAAGCCTTCAGCAAGTTTATCGAGTTTCGGACTCGTGTAGAGAAGCAGCTTGAACTTCAGGTGAAAAGACTTAGTAGAGATAAAGGAGGAGAGTACCGATCTAAAGAGTCAGAAGCATACTTCAAGGAGCATAGAATCATTATTGAAAATATTGTTCTGTATTCTCCACAATCTAATAGGATTGCAGAAAAAAAATCACACATTGACCGAGATGGTGAATTTGATGCTAATCACATCTGATCTACTTATCTGCTAATAGGGAGAGGCTTTACTAATGGCAAACTGGATTCTGAGCAGAGTACCTTATTCCAAAACTGACAGCACTCCTCATTAGTTATGATTAGGATATCCAGATCCTTTGGATAGTCTCAAAATATGGGGGCATCTCACATATGCTCGAGTTCCAAATATCAGAAGGCCTAAGCTCTAACCAAAGGCTAAACAGGTATGTGTTTTATTGGCTTTGCTGAAGATAGTGATGCTTATAGATTCCTGGGCCTTAGAACTAACTCCGTCATTGAAACTCGGGATGTAGAATTTTTTGAGGACAAGTTTATCAAGGATAAAGGTTTATTTCAAAAAGATATACCAGAAAATAATGGTACGTCAGAAGTACTAGAGGAGCCAGTTTTGCGAGAAACTGAAAGTGTCAATGATGAAGGAGTTACCGAACCACCTTCCAAGCGTGTCAGGAGACAGAAAGATTTTAGAGATTACTTCATCACCTATAATATAGAAGAAGATCCACAAACTTTCCAAGAAGCAATGCAGTCAACAGATGTTCTTATGTGGAAAGAAGCTATAGATGATGAGATGGATTCATTGATCCATAATCACACTTAGGAGCTGGTGGATGTACCAGAAAGTGCAATGCCTATCAGTTACAAGTAAATCTTCAAGAAGAAGCTTAATCCTAATGGTACTATTAAGAAGTACAAAGTAAGACTGATGGCAAAAAGATTCTCTCAGAGAGAAGGAATAGATTTTTTTGATATCTATGCACCTGTTTGCAGAGTTACTACTATCAGAGTACTTATTGCATGGGCGACGATAAAAAAAATTGTCATACATCAGATGAATGTGAAGATTGTCTTTCTCAATGGAGATCTCATAGAAAAGATCTACATGGAGAAACCAGAAGGATTTGATGCTCCAGCTGGTAAAGTTTATAAACTTGTTAAGTCTCTATATACACTTAAGCATGCACCGAAACTCTGACATGAGAAGTTCGATGGGGTTGTTCGTAATAATGGGTATCAAGTCAGTAAATCAGACAAGTGCCTATACATCAAGGTCGCTGAAGAAAAGTGGTGGTTATCTGCCTCTATGTAGATGATATGCTTATCATCGGAAGTGATTTGGAGATAGTAATATCTACTAAGAAATTTCTTTCAGCACAGTTCAGCATGAAGGACCTTGAAACTATAGACATGATTCTCGGAATCAAAATCATATACTCTGAATAGGGTATTGGATTGTCTCAATCTCATTATGTTGAGAGCATGTTAAGAAAGTATGGTTACTATGACCTGAAAGAACTGTATGTGTCGTATGATTACAATAAGAAGCTTCAACCGAACACTAGAAGACCAGTAGATCAACTAAGGTACTCAAAGATTATTAGGAGTCTAATGTACACGGTGAGCTGCATAAGGTCAGACATAGCATTCGTTGTAGGAATGCTTAGTATGTTCACAAGTAATCCTCAAAAGCTTCATTGGAATGTTGTTTAGAGATTGATGAGATACTTGAAAGGAACTATAGGTCTGGGCCTATTTTACACTAGATATCCAGCTGTAATCGAAAGCTATTCAGATGAAAGCTGGTAGTCAAAACCAAATGAGTGCAGATCTACTACAGGTTTTGTTTTCACCATGGGTGGAGCTGCCGTCTCGTGGAAGTCTAAGAAGCAGACTATGGAATTTGAGTTCTTCGTACTCTGTGCTGTAGGATATGAAGCTGAGTGGCTCAGTTGTTTTCTCTGAGACCTTCCACTGACAGAATTGCAAGGCGCAATTACTATCTATTGTGATAATCAGACGACGAGTGCTGTGGCAACGAACTCGATGTTTAATAGAAAGAAGCGGACCATTCATTTGAAACATGGCTATTTGAGAGAACTCATTTGCCAAGGAGTCATCTCTTTGATTGACGTCCGGTCTTTAGAAAATATGGCTGATCCTTTGACTAAGAGTCTGGAAAAGGACATAGTCGAAAGAACGTCTGCTGGAATGGGTCTTAAAGGTTTGTGAGTTTTACAAATACTTACCATTTACATCAAGTTATTAGTTCAAAGCTTACGCTACTAATGACAAGATGATTGGTTCAAAAGTGAAGTAAGATTTGCAAGTGAAATCCTATCATGGTATAGAGGATGACTGTTAAGCCTTAATGAGTCCAAAACATTTCGGATGCGAGCTGTTGAACAGGTAACATGCCTAAAGGACTCACCGATGATCCTATCATGTAAATGGGATAGTTGTTAATCCTTAATGAGTTCAAAACATTTCGGATGCGGTGTATTAGATAGGAAACACACCTAAAGAACTCACCGAGAATCTTATCATGAGAGAGGTTGGCTTTTAAGTCTTAATGAGTTCAAAGCATCTCGGATGCGGGATGTTTGATAGAAAACATGTCTAAAAAACTCACATATGCCTGGGTGAAGATTTGGTCGTCTTCTATAGTATATTGTGGAAAGATACCTAGAGCCCTAACAAAAACCAGGACATGCACATGACCATAAATGTGCAAGGCTTATAAGGAAAAGGCAAAGGCAAGTGTGATTCAACGTAAAACTATCACATATGAGTTTGGTCATGTGTGATTGCTGGATTTTAGACTATGCTTATTCAAATCTCTGTGACACCATACATCTATCTTTTATTCAGTTGGTCTAAGGGAGATTTAAGTCCTTACGACATCTACTTATGCACAACGATTGAAACAACGACACCGTTACACGACACTAGTTTAAAAACTTATAGGGGATTGTTAGATATTTTTGCTCAAAATCGCTTTCCAAAAATGTGGTTTCAAACTATATATTTATTAACTACTAGTATTTTTCATAAATCATTAGTAGCATAGAGAAAAGTTAAAGTTTTGATATCTCAAAGGTCCTGTGTTCGAGGCTTGCCAACGACAAGTCGAGAATTGTTTTTATTTAATTAATCCCTCATAAGTTCTAGTGGATCGTAGGGCCGTGGGCCATGGGCTCGTGGGCTCGTGAGCCGTGGGCCAATGAGCCGGGGATCGGGGCTAATCGGACTGAGGCGCTAAGCGGCGCTTTGTGATGTTGTGCTACTATTGTAGTGTCTGAAAGCGTGAAAGCTTTAGTCTGTGCCCAAAGAAACATAGCTCTGAACCGAAAGGTTTTTACAGATCGAAAGATCTTTGTCTGAACCGAAAGGTTATTGAATCGAAAGATTTTAACAGATCAAGGAGATCTTTGCTTGAACCGAAAAGTTATTGAACCGAAAGGTTATTGAACGAAAGGTTTTAACAGATAGAGGAGATCTTTGCATTAACCGAAAGGTCTTATAGATCGATGAGATCTTAACAGTACTGTGTCGGTGCACATCAGAGTACTGTACTGCTGTTCCTGAAAGCAGTTTGGTCTTGGGATTCTTGCACAGGAGTAGGCCAAATATTGCTTTAAGCACAACGTTTCATAAACGCACAACAGCTAATCTTGAAAAAGTTTTAAAATATATCACTTCAGCTCTCTAAGATATTTATCTATTTTATTCCATATTTAACCACAGACGCCAACATAGGATTTCTATCCTAAAAAGAGGGGGTCTATAATAACTCTCAATTTATAATTTTTACAATTCTGATCAAGAGGGGACTCCCACGTACTTGCTAGTGATAGTATAGAATCAGATATAGAATTTGCACTTGATTAACCCATGTAAAAGAGAGGAGTAATTTTTCCCTTTCCTTCTCCGTCCCTCTGTCACGATTGAGACCAGAGAGCGCTTGAAAGGAATTTATTTCTAATTTCTTTATTACTTACGCACTGCCTAAGCTTTGTTTGGTTATTTTTTTCTGGCACCTTTGAGATCCGTGGCAATCCAGCAACCGGTAGCCCAAGAGGCAGGCACGTGTCGTGTTGGGTCCCGACACGTATCTATTACTATTTTGGAGCGTGACAAATTTGCTCCGTATCCGAAGTCCAAATAAAAATGTATTTCCAGATGGAGATATTGGAGTTTTTTGGGGTTCAGTGTCATCATTTTCTCTGATTTATCTCCTCGATCCCTTCTGCAAAATTTCAGAACTTTCAGAGAGAGAGAGAGAGAGAGAGAGAGGAAAAATGGCAGATTGGGGCCCAGTGGTGATAGCAACGGTCTTGTTTGTGCTTCTAACGCCAGGGCTCTTGTTTCAGATCCCGGGGAGGACCAGAATTGTCGAGTTCAACAGCTTTCACACCACGGGCATCTCCATTTTAGTGCACGCGGTCATCTATTTTGGGCTCATCACTATATTTCTCATTGCCATTGGGGTCCACATCTACTCTTAGCTTGTTTGCTTAGTAAATTTACCAGCTGCTATTCAATTCTGTGGTGCTGCAGATGATGCGTGTTTCTAGTGTTTGTGTTCATGGGGTGCTGTCTTTTTGGTCGGAGGACCGTGTGAGTCCTGTAAAGAAGTAGCTAGGAGTTTATCATCTTGAGTTGTATTGTGTTGGGATGTTTTGATGCCCAAATCATGAATATTTGGTTTTGATTTGCTGAAATTGATCCTTGGATAGCTTGAAATAATGCGTCGATGGAGTAAAAGGATTCTCCAACATCCCTTTTTGGTAATTGGAAGTAAACTTTTGGGTTTCAAAGTAAAAACCCCTTATTATTATTGTACCATTTTTGCAAGAACTAGGCAGCTCTAAATACTGTATGATCGTTATTTAAAATGTATTTTTTTGTTTTGTTTTTTTGAATGAAATGTCTAATTTTTAACAACATGTAGTATAGACAGTTTAAACAATATATATTATAGCCAGAGGCATATATCATTTAAGAAAATTTCAGAATAGTCCTCAGATATGATTAGAGATACATATGTAGTGAAATTTCTAGATTCATGACCAAAAATTCTGAGTATATGTTTGTCATATAGTTGCAACTGTTTTAATCCTTAGACTAATAAATTTGAGATTAATTTTGATCCAAATTAATTTTGATGATCAAAAGATATAATCTTTGACTCTTGAGATATGAAAAACACATTAATGATATGAAAAACATATTAATGAACTGTTTCGCATCATAAGAACTATATTTCTTCCCTAATATTATCTAGTTTTCTCATATCCGCTTTGTATCCAAATATATATTTGCTTATATATCCGTATGCACATCCGCATCTGTTTTTAGTGGATATGGTTATAAATTTTTCTTACCAAGGCATATCTGTATTCGTATCCCTAATTGTTGATTGGT